AACCAGTGCTGCATGTGACTGTACTAAACACCGCAGGCAATTGTAACACAATGGTAAGTATTTCTGTATCTAAATCTATCTACACATGGAAAAGATACAGTGAAAATGTGGTATAAAAAATTAGCACCTGAGCCAGGTGTGGTGGCTCACACCTGTAATCCCAGCACTTTGGGAGGCTGAGGTGGGTGGATTTCCCGATGATGGGAGTTCGAGGCTAGCCTGACCAACACGGAGAAACCCCATCTCTACTAAAAATACAAAAAAAATCAGCCAGGTGTGGTGGTATATGACTGTAATCCCAGCTACTCGGGAGGCTGAGGCAGAAGAACTGCTTGAACCCAGGAGGCAGAGGTTGTGGTGAGCCGAGATTGTACCATTGCACTCCAGCCTGAGCAACAAGAGTGAAACTCCATCTCAAAAAAAAAAAAAAGATTAGCATCTGAATAAGGCACTTACCATGAATGGAACTTGCAGGATTGTAAGTTGCCTGGTGTGCATCAGTGAGTGGTGAGTGAATGTGAAGGTCTAGGACATTGCTGTACATGACTGCAGACTTTTGTTGTTGTTGTTGTTGAGACTGAGTCTCGCTCTATTGCCCAGGCTGGAGTGCAGTGGCATGATCTTGGCTCACTGCAACTTCCACCTCCCGGGTTCAAGTGATTCTCCTGCCTCAGCCTCCCGAGCAGCTGGGGTTACAAGCACCCCCCACCACGCCTGGCTAATTTTTGTACTTTTAGCAGAGATGGGGTTTCGCCGTGTTGGCCAGGCTGGTCTCGAACTCCTGACCTCAAGTGATCCACCCGCCTGGGCCTCCCAAAGTGCTGGGATTACAGGCATAAGCCATCATGCCCAGCCCAAAGTAACTTTTGTTTTAAAAACCAATTCTCCCTCTGATGCATTGTGCCCATCAAGTTTGGAGTTGTTGGGTTTCTACGGCTCTAAACCAGAAACACCTCAGACCCAATGAAGACAAAAGCATCCCTGTCCTGATTCTATTATAACATTTTCTTGTGTGCCCTGGGGCCCCATCCTAGTGTCCAAGACACCAACTTTCTGAGCTTTCTGAGAGCAAGACCTTGTTGGTCTTTCTGTACACCAAGGTCTTAGTGCAGTATCTAGAACCCTAGAACAGTGTCTAGAAACTCGTGTGTGTGTGTGTGTATGAGTGTATTGAATGAATCAATGAATGAACGTCTGTGTGAAGGCCACAGGCTATTTCAGACAGAGCCCCAAAGTATGTGTCCCTTGGTCAGATCACCAGATCTTAAGGATCCCAGGAACTGCCCCAGCTTTGTAGGTACAAAAGTCTGATTTGTGAATACACCCAAGAGATGGCCATAGATGAGTGGACCAGCTTATGGCAACCATAGTTATTAGCGTGTACAGCAGAAAGTCAAATTATAAAAAATGTAACTACAGGCATATGAAAATGTAGTGTTCCCAGCATTCATTGGCCAGATGATTCCGCCTGGCAGCCATCTCTTCATAGAACCTCCTAGAATAATCAAAGGGTTCCACGAAAGCCTGGACTTTTCCATTTCAAGGGCCCTTTTGCAATTTGGCTTTGATACTTCTCCCCTCAAGAGGTAGAATAGAATTTTCCTCCATTTGAATCTAGGTGGGTGCTGTGTGTGTCTTGCATTGACTTCTGGGCCTAATTCTTCAGAAGCACTGCAATTTCACTTCCTCCTCCTGGAGGCTGACCACCATTCAAAGAAGCTCAGTCTGACTGCTGAATGTGGACAGTCTACATGGATGAAGAGGCAATGGGAAATGAACCAAAGCACCCCCAGCAGAGCCATTACCCAGGACCCACACCTGGGAGTGGGGCCATGTTAAAGGTTCCACTCCCATTGAGCCACCCAGCAGCCACTGCAAGGAGCAGAGAACTGTGAGCAACAAAAGAACTGAAAGTTATTTCAAGCCACAAGCTGCCCATATACAAAATGGATAACAAAAAGAGACTCAAAGCAAGAGGAAGTGGCTGGATTATATTAATTGCTGATATCACTGACTTCTGAAAGCCTGTTGCCTCGATTTCCACTTTCTCTGCTGTCCCGATGGTCAGGCTACCTCTGCTCCAGCAAGTCCAGAGACACTTTTCTGTTTCAGACTCTCTGAACTGTCCTTTTGGAGGTACCAGTCAAACCAATCGCCTTCAGAAAACACATTCATTGTTGTCTTGATTGAATTTTAGGCCCTGCTTAGTTGTCAATTGAAAACCTCATTTAAGCTATTGGCTTATTTCTAATTTCCTGGTATTTATCGTCTGCCACAAGCCAGACTCTGTCCTAGGAGCTAATGATACAGCAGAGAACCAGACAGACAAATCCCAGGTTCATGAAATTTACTTTCCAGTATAACCTCAGATTGAAGAAGTACTAGCTATTGTCTTCATATACCAGGAATAAAAATATGACCCGGCCGGGCGCGGTGGCTTAAGCCTGTAATCCCAGCACTTTGGGAGGCCAAGACGGGCGGATCACAAGGTCAGGAGATTGAGACCATCCTGGCTAACACAGTGAAACTCCGTCTCTACTAAAAAATACAAAAAACTAGCCGGGCGAGGTGGCGGGCGCCTGTAGTCCCAGCTACTCAGGAGGCTGAGGCAGGAGGATGGCGTAAACCTGGGAGGCAGAGCTTGCAGTGAGCCGAGATCGGGCCACTGCACTCCAGCCTGGGTGACAGAGCCAGAGTGTAAGCGCAGAAAGGTACACTGGGCCCTAGAAATAACCTGAATACCATCCAGCCCTCAGAATTTTATATAAGTAGATAACCAAAAGTGATTCCTCCTATAATTTTGAGATAAGTAGTTTGAGATTACCCAATGGATAGACATAAACATACGGCACCAATAAAATAGAGGAACCAATGTTTTGTGTGTGTGTGAAATTTGATATATTTTTAAAAAGGATCAAAGCACTCATCACAGGAAAAAAATCAGTATTGTATTGCGCTACACTTTTTAAAAGCAGTTTTAATAATTTTTTTTTTTTTTTTTTAAGAGAGCATCTCACTCTGTCAGCCAGGCTGGAGTAAAGTGGTATGATCTCAGCTTCCAGAGTAGCTGGGACAAGAGGTGCGTGCCACCATGTCCAGCTAATTTTTTTTTATTTATTTTTAATTTTTTTAGTTTTTTTTGGTAGAGATGAGGTCTTGCTTTGTTGCCAGAGCTGGTTTGTTTGTTTGTTTGTTTGTGAGATGGCGTCTCCCTCTGTCGCCCAGGCTGGAGTGCAATGGCGCGATCTTGGCTCACTGCAACCTCCGCCTCTGGGGGGGTTCAAATGATTCTCCTGCCTCAGCCTACCCAGTAGCTGGGATTACAGGCACATGCAACCACTCTCAGCTAATTTTTGTGTTTTTAGTAGAGACGGGGTTTCGCCATGTTGGCCAGGCCGGTCTCGAACTCCTGACCTCAGGTGATCCACCCGCCTCAGCCTCCCAAAATGCTGGGAGGTGTAAGCCACCATGCCTGGCCACAGAGCAGGTTTTGAACTACTAGCCTGAAGCTATTATCCCGCCTTGGCCTCCCAAAATGCTGGGATTACAGATATGAGCCACGGTGCCCAGCCCTTAAGCAGCTTTTAAAAACTATCGTTTTTATTTTGAATACTTATGGAGATGGTGGTATGATAATCTTCTCAGTTTGTAAAGTCCTCTAACTGTGTAAAGTAGATCTGAAGTGTTTTCCTGACCCTCACTGGGATGGTTATTTCAAGTACAAAATGTTTTCACACAGTGGGTAGTGATCTTTCATAAAAAATTTCATATTTGAATGAAAACAGCTCAAGAAATACACTAATGAGCAAAAATATATGGGGAAAGAGGGATGTGTAGTTTTGACTTAACTGAAGAAACCAAGAGGAAACTGGTCTACATATGAAAATGTGATCCTGGAAAGTCAGGTGTCAAGAATTTCGAGTAGGAATCTATATGACTTGAATCTCCCCTACTTCCTGAATAAAAGTGACATTTTTCAGTATTTATATAAAAAAAATCATATTTCAGTGAAGCTTCCAGGTAAACTATCTTTAAAAAATCATATGTGAGTGGACCTTCCACGTAAATTATCTCCCTCTTTTAAGGGAGCTCCCTGTATTTCTAGCGACTTTAACTGAAATCCCTTTCAGGGAGAAATCCTCATTAGCTACATAAGAGGGGATTAGGTGTTTTTTTCAAAGAGCTGGTATTGGAACATCTACCTCTCTGATGTCCCTGGTCAGCTATATTGTACATGAGTTGAAACATTTTGTATTTTAATTTTCTATCATTTACTGGGTGCCTCTTCTGTGACAGAGCCACTCAAAGGGCTATTGATTATCATCAGGTGACTGAATTCTAAACATATTTTGAAGTAGGAGATACTGTTATTGCTGTTATTACTCACGTTTTAGAGATAAGAAAACTGAGGCTCTGAGAGGTCAAGATCACGCAGCTAACGAATGAGCCAAGACTCTCTTGCTTTAGAGCTTGTCCTCTACTCTTGCTTTTCTTTCCAGAAAACACTAAATTTTTTGTTTGTTTCCTTTTGTTTTGAGACAGGCTCTCCCTGTCACCCAGGCTGCAGTGCAGTGGCGCGATTTTGGGTCACCGCAACCTCCGCCTCCCGGGCTTAAGCGATTCTCCTGCCTCAGCCTCCCTGGACTACTGGCGCGCGCCACCACGTAAAAATGGTCATGTTCTAACATGTATGCATACGAATTACAATGGAAACAAAATTAGCAAAAGCGCCTATGCTAATGCTCAATACAATTGATCTCCTCACATTTAATCCTCACAACTACTACAATCACCTCAAACTCAAACTCTATGGAGCTGACGTGCCCTGAGGGCACAGCTCTTATCCGGTGAGAACAGGCGCATCTCAGCGACACTCTAAACTTCTAAGACGCGCCTTCCACAGAAAGGCTCTTCCTGACACGGTGCTTCCGGAAGTCCCGCCCCAGGAGAAAAACAGCTTCCGGAAAAAATGGAGGCCAGGAAACCGGAACAGACCGGGGCCGCTTGAGACGCTCTAGTATTCCTCTACTCTATGGCCACTGACAATTGACAAGTCACGAGCAGTAAGACTCCTTTCTATTGGATGAGCAGCCTCGCGTAGGCGGGCAGCTCGATGCACGGCGCGCTGATTGGCTGAATCTGCCACGCGGAGCGGCTGGGCGGTGCATGGGGCGCGCGGACTGAGGTGACCGGCGGCTTTTCTCAGTTTTAGTGAAGACGGGCGCATGTGGGCGCTTTGCTCGCTGTTGCGGTCCGCGGCTGGACGCACCATGTCGCAGGGACGCACCATATCGCAGGGATCCGCCCGCCGCCAGCGGCCGCCCAAGGACTCGCTGCGGCACCTGCGCACGCGAGAGAAGCGCGGCCCGTCGGGGTCCTCCCGCGGCGCGAACACCGTGTACCTGCAGGTGGTGTCAGTGGGCAGCCGGGACGCGGGCACCGCGCTCTACGTCTTCTCCGAGTTCAACCGGTCAGTGCGCCGCGCCTGGGGTTCCCTCAACGAGCCACGCCCCGTCCCGCCGGGCCCTCAGTGCGGTGCAGCCTCTGAGCATTGGGGCACCTCCCAGGGCTTCGGCTTCCCTACTTCACAAATGTGGTTCACTGTTGCGGGGGTTCGTAAAGTTAGGGTGGGTGGGAAATCCCAGATTCTTTGCATCCATGTGATTTCTGGGGATCTGTGAAGAACTTCAGACTTGGGTCAGAACGTCCTCTTCCCAACCCTAGGGCCTGGCCTGGCTGTCAGCACTTTCGGAGCTCCACCCTCTTCCGTGCACCCCAAGGCCGGTGTGTCTTTGTTAGTGTGTGGAGTGGACAGATCTGGTGTGTAGCCGGTGATGGGGAAAGAACCCGTTTTGTCCCAGCACCCACACACACAGACCCCCACTCCTCTCCACCTCTCCTATGGAGGACTCAAAACCCACCATCCTAATAGCAGAAATGTGGTTCGGTGGTCCAACATTGACTTTTAATTTTTTTTTTTTCCCAGAGTTTACAGTAAAGCATCTAATTAGTGTCAGTTTACAGAATAAAACCTTCTGAATGTCTTGTGTAATGTTTGTCTTGTAGATACCTCTTCAACTGTGGAGAAGGCGTTCAGAGACTCATGCAGGAGCACAAGTGAGTCAGTCTCTTGCTTTTGGAGGGGGAGTTGATTACGGGGCTTGAAAGCTGAAATGAGAGGCCAGTTGTTTTTTATAGCAAAAGTGGTCCTTGTTCTGTTCGTGTTATCCTGTTTAAATGTTTTCTGATTCTTAGGTTGAAAGTTGCTCGCCTGGACAACATATTCCTGACTCGAATGCACTGGTCTAATGTTGGTGGCTTAAGTGGTGAGTATATTCTTTGCAGTGTCAGAGGCTGGTGGGAAGTCTCTGGGAATTTAACCTGCGTGACCATTTTTCCGAGTCTGGGGTGGGTTGGACAGCTAGACTTTTTTTTTTTTTTTTGTCAGTGGCGTGATCTTGGCTCACTGCAACCTCTGCTTCCTGGGCTCAGGTGATCCCCTCACCTCAGCCTCCCAAATAGCTGGGACCACAGGCCCGCCCTACCACACCTGGCTAATTTTTTTTGTATTTTTTGTAGCGACTGGGTTTCGCCATGTTGCCCAGGCTGGTCTCAAACTTCTGGGTTCAAGCGATCCTCCTGCCTTGGCCTCCCAAAGTGCTGGGATTACAGGCATGAGCCACCGCACCTGGGCTGGAATTCTTTTTATAGCAGCCCAGTCAGCTGCAGCACAGAGCATTAAAAGCTGTGACTCAGAAGAACAGATTTTAATATGGATACCCCCTCTGAGTGTTACCATCTCTTAGTTTCTTGGGTTGCGGGGCCAGAGATTTGTGGCAGTAAACTGGAGAGTCTAGTGGTGGTAATTATAGTTAATATGTTTACCGTAGACGCCATTGGCAGCCACACACATACCCACTGTCCAGATTACCCTGTCATTTATGTCTCTCAACTAGAAGGTCAGGATTGTGTTGCATCCAAATTCTGTGGGCTTGGTGGCATGTACAGGAAGGAGTGAAGTGTTAGACCAGTCTCCCTTCTCAGGACTGAGACTAGGGTGAGGCATTTAGGGTGCCGCCCTTCACTTTCATGATTCCTTAAATTTTGCACACTGGGTGCCTTGCTACTTCACCCTAGTAACAATTCAGCCTATTCTAGAGGCATTTAAAGAATCTTTGATGTCTGTTACACCTCTGGCTGGCATCACTTCTGCTCTGTGCATCTTCCCTGGTGATACTTCCAAAGCTGGAAGGAGGAGATGTAGATAAATAGCTGGATTAGTACAGGGTGCTCCTCCTGTTAGTGACGGCAGGTCAAGTTGATGAGATATCTGATTTTTATGCATCCTTTTTAGGAATGATTCTTACTTTAAAGGAAACCGGGCTTCCCAAGTGTGTACTTTCTGGACCTCCACAACTGGTGAGTCTTTCCTGACACGTCTTTCAAAACCAACCTTTCCTTTTGTAATGTCAGTAACAAGAGTTTTCCTTTTTGCAAATCAGTCTTCTGCCCTCCAGGGATACCTGATCATTGAAATGCTTCCCCTTTCAAGTTAAAATGAGTTCAAAGCCTGATTAACTGTGTGACCTTAAACGAGTTACTTTACCTTTCTGAGCTTTAGTTTATTGATCTGTAAGATTACTATCATGTTTCATAGAGTTGTTAAAGATTAGATGATGTAGCCAGTATAAAACACTAGATCACTTTATTAGATGTATGTTTGGCACCAAGTAGGCACACAAGAAAGGGCAGCTTTTGTTTTATTCAATAAATTTCTGACATTGTCTTACCTTTCAAGCCAGTTTATTACACTCATGAGAAGTCATGTGTATGTTGTTGAATATAATAGTTCATTTTCCAATTCTTAAGAAGAAAGTTACCAAGGCCTGTTTAAGTCTTTCCCCAAAATAACGTTTGAAATCCATCCATTTGTCTCTTATCGAGGCCTTCCTTATCTCTGTTTTCTGCACCTGCAAACTACAATAGCCTCCCATATCCATTCTCGTCTTCCCTGTAATCCGTCTGCCACACAGCAGCCAGAGAGGTCACATTAAGACAGAAAAGTGGTGTGTCACTTTTCACGCTAAAGCCTTTCATGGGCTCCCCATTGCAGTACAATCCAAAACACCTTGATATGGCCTACAAGTCCTGTAGGCCCCAGCCCCTACCCTTACTTCCATCTGTACCCATCGCTGAGCTGTAGCTGCATGGGCTGTCTCTTACACCCCTCTAACTCTGTCCTCTTCAGGACTTCGCCCTCCCCCAAGTTCCCTCTGCCTCTTAATTGCTGCCTGTATTGTTACTGAACCTTCAGGGCTCAGCTAGAGGGTCATTTACTCCAGAACTGTCTCCTCCTCCAGACAAGTTGGATCCTGGCCCTCTGTATTTTTCATTTTCCTTGCAGAGCACTTAGCATAATGCCACTAAGCTGTTTGTGTTATCATGTTTCATTTTGTGGCACTGGCATGATTAGAGCAAGGACTCCATCTCTTTTTCCTGCTGTGTCCTTGGCATCTGACATAATGGATACTCAGTAAATATTTGTAGTAAATGATGTTCAAAATACTCACTAAGCTTTGTTTTATGTTGATACCTATTGGTAACCTTTAAATATTTGAATAGTTGCTGTGTTCTACATTTGTTCAGCCATAACTGCTCATTTCTTTGTTTTTCATTAGGAAAAATACCTCGAAGCAATCAAAATATTTTCTGGTCCATTGAAAGGAATAGAACTGGGTATGTCTTTGAGACTCATTATCTGCTATTTCTAACTCATATATGCCCTGACCTCTCAAATTAGAATCCGTTAAAAAATCAACATTAAACCTCAAAATCAAATGCTTCATCACCGTGAGATGTTTTTTTTTTTTTTTTTTTTAATAGATGGAGTCTCGCTCTCTCACCAGGCTGGAGTGCAGTGGCGCGATCTCGGCTCACTGCACCCTTCACCTCCTGGGTTTAAGGGATTCTCCCGCCTCAGCCTCCCGAGTAGCTGGGACTACACGCGCACCATCACGCCCAGCTAATTTTTTGTATTTTCAGTAGAGACGGGGTTTCCCCATGTTGGCCAGGATGGTCTCGATCTCTTGACCTTGTGGTCTGCCCACCTCGGCCTCCCAAAGTGAGAAAGTGAGCTACCACGCCCGGCTGGAGATGTGTTTTCTAAATAGTGACATTTTCTGTGCTCCCACCTCATGCTGTAAAAATAGGGGCCAGGTCAGCAGCAGTGATTAAACAGCCGATGCGTGCCTGTGTACATGCTGGGTAGCATTCTCCATCCAGACAGCAGGGCTCCTGCCTCAGTTCCAGAGGTGCTTCTCGTCGTTGAGTTGCTTTGAGTTGGGAGTGGGGGTGACGAGGGGCTCCTAAAGGTTTTATGGCCAACTTTGTACATTGAAACGCAGCTCCAGCTGTGTAGCGGATGGGAAGACTCTTGATGGGAAGAGGCGTCACTGAGGATGCTAGCAGGGCCCTTGTCCTGGCACTGGTGTGCGTCTGTGGCTTAATACTCCTCTTTTATAGAAACACTAATACTTGGTTTCAAAATATACATCAGCTCCTCTGGTTGAGATGATGGGTTCCCTGGCTTCACAATTCTGTTTGTTAACTTGGGCCTCTGAAAGTCGAGTACTAGTTTCTTGTTTTTACATTTTTAACGGATAGTCACCAATGATTATAATGTCTCTTCATCTGGCTGTAGTAGATATAAATGGCTGACCAAAATACACTTTTATTTATTTCCTAAAAATAGCAATCTCCTTAGAAAGTCTGGTTTTCATGTCAGATTCCCACCATAATTCTGAGGCAGTTCAGTTGCTCAGTGGTTGGTGATCCTGGAAGTTACTCTTCCCACGCATCTTCACTAATGCAATCACTTTGCTGTCGTGTGGTTTTCTTGTAGCTGTGCGGCCCCACTCTGCCCCCGAATACAAGGATGAAACCATGACAGTTTACCAGATCCCCATACACAGTGAGTATGAAAGCCAGGTTTCCCAGGAGGAGGGTGTAGGTCCGAGTAAAGAAAACATGGGTGAACATAGAAACTGAACACTTGCTTTGGGCACCCTGTTTTGTGTTCTGAGCATGATTAGAAAATTTAGCTGAGGAATTAAGATATGGCCCCTGCCCTTAAGGAGCTTACCATCTTACGGATAAGCACGTCTAACCCATGCCTAATGTTAGTGATTATGCTTTGGAATATTAGATAATCAAGCACTGTTGGTAAATAGATTACATTCAAGTTGGCACATTGATTGCTTGGAGGTTTTTTCCCACAGGCGTAAGTACTCTCTTGATCAGAGGATCATGAAGAGGTTTGCACAGATAGATTTTTAAAAATAAATAATGATTACGGCAACTTACAAGGGGGTTAGAAGCTCCTACAAATTCTGAAGTACCAGGGCCAGATGATGTGGTCTTAGCTTAGGAAAAGAGTCAGTCTTGTCCTTGAGCTTGGCTAAAGACATTCTTGTCTGGTTTTACTTACATATAAAGAGAGTACCAAGCAGTAGGGGTGTTTCCTTGATAATGCTAACTAATGCGATGCTTACCAAGTAGTGCTGATGGGTAACAGACCAGAGCACCTAGCAAAGGCCAGAGAAGTCCAGAACCTGGCGGAGATGAGGCTTATGCTGACTGAAGGCAGAAGGTAGCAGGGAGGGGAGGAATTAGCTGGAGCAATGGCACAGGTGCTCCTAGGCCAGTGCTGTGATGGGCTGATCAGCAGTCCCATTGACTGGCTCGCTCCTCCTTCTCAGATGCCTTCTCACACCTGAGTCCTGCTGTAGCCACCTCCAGCCTTAGTTGCATCCCTCTGTTCATTTCTAGCACCCTGTTCTCCACTCCATTGCATGTGACAGGTAACTTTCACGTGTCACTTGCGTGATCGATGTTAACATGCTCAGTTTTGCTGACCATCGTTTTTTCAGTGCCCGGCAGCCCTCAATGAATGAACTTATGTTCATCGTCATTGCAGCTGTGCTTTAGCTTCTTAGAGCAGCGAATTTTTTCCCCGTGATCTTGAGCCTTAACTAAATGTAAAATGAGGCTCCCTCTGGAGATAGGTACCCTTTAGGCCTATGTTTTTTAGTGGGAGTCATAATAAATACGCATGTCTACAGCTCACATGCTGTTTAGATAACACATTGTTGAGCTGGTACCATGGTCAAGGCTGTGAGCTAAGCAGAAACATAAAGATTAATGGACGTAAATGCACCCCAGAAATCAGGTAGGAAGTTAACTAGTTATTTCCTACTGTATAGTAAAAGGTGTGCTGATTTCATTGGCGTTCTGGCATTCCCACATATAAACATCTGGGCCTCGACTCTCCGCTCACCTTGTGCAGTGTGTAATATGGTGGTGTCTGTACTGACCAGGTGAACAGAGGAGTGGAAAGCACCAACCATGGCAGAGTCCAGAAAGGCCTCTCAGCAGGCTCAGTCCAGAGCGATCTTCAGACTCCGAGTCAAATGAGAATGAGCCGCACCTTCCCTGTGGTAATAGTATAAACAAAACAGAGCGGCAGAAAAGCTCATGTTTTCTTAATTCTCTGCCTCGTAATGCTTGAAGAGAGTCGTTATTTTAAGAAAGCCACGTGTGTAAACAGATGCTTCTTCCTGGGCTTATGATGACTTGGCCCTTGCGGGGAATGAGAAGGGTTGTTGTAAAGGTGGCAGCCTGGAGCTTTAATAACAGCCAGTCCACAGTTTTGGCCACAGGGTCTGGGTAGGCCCAAAACTGGTCTGTTTTCCCAGAGAACAGGGCCTGACAAACGGATTCGTTTTGTATTTTTCATTAATGTAACTTTCATGCAAATTTTCCGTTTAATGTGGAAACTGTAACTGCAAAGCCAATGAGACAGTCAAATCAGTGAGAGGATCTGCACCTCTTCTTCCAGAATGAGAGCCCACTGGGAAATGGAGTTAAAAGTCTAAGTTTAGATTAACTCAGGAGTTGGGCTGCTTCAGGAGTTTGCTGTCCTTAACAGAAGACCAGCGCTGGCAAAGCTCGGCAGCTCCTCTTTCTGTCCTGAGGTCTTGTCTAGTGACTGAGAACCGGCTGACCCCTATATGCTGTCCTTGTTTGGATGGCACTGGGTGAAGACCCCAACATTTTCTCTGCAGGCCTGTGAACTTTTGTGTTATTTCATGTTGTATGCGTTATAAAGCACATTACAATATATTTTTCTCTCTCTTCCCCAGTCCTAGGTGAAATGTATGATTTAAAAAAAAATTCACTTGCCATTCTAAAGTTTTTCTGGCGAGAGTTTTGTGTTTTCATTTACCCAAAAACATCTCCACATAAGTAGGGGGAGAAAGTCTTCTTGAGTGTATTAGTGTCTTCAGCCTTTGTATTGGGACAGTTGTGTCTATTTAATTTTTATGCGAGGTGAAATTAGGTATCAGGTCGTAATCAGTTTGTGATGTCTTGACAACTTTCACATTTACCCTGTGATAATTAAATGTGTTTTTCCTCAGGTGTTAGCCAGAGAAGAGGGGTAAGGGACCCTTCCCTGGTTGTTGCTTTCATCTGTAAGGTAAGGGAGCTTTTCTGGAGGGCTGTACATGACTGGGGGCTTGGTCAGCGAACTCTGGTGTACACTTTTTCAATAATTTGAGGGTAGCTGTTCCTGTTACCTGAGACAAGAAGAGATAGCAGATCTTCAAAAAAACTGACGGAAGTCCAGGTGCAGTGGCTCACGCCTGTAACCCTAGCACTTTGGGAGGCCAAGGAAGGTGGATGGCTAGGTCAGGAGTTCAAGACCAGCCTGACCAACATGGTGAAACCCTGTCTCTACTAAAAATACAAAAATTAGCTGGGTGTGGTGACGTGCACCTGTAATCCCAGCTAATTGAGAGGCCGAGGCAAGAGAATCGCTTGAACACAGGAGGAGGTTGCAGTGAGCTGAGACTGCACCGTTGCACTCCAGCCTGGGTGACAGAGCAAGACTCCATCTCAAAGAAAAAAAAATATTCTATAGAAATGATAATGGCAATGAGCCTGCAACAAGTATCACTACTGACCTTTCATAATTGTCATCACTTGTAGGTTTCAGAGTTTAGATGCTCTGTTTCTCAAAATAACCCCAAACTTTTTTTTCCTTTTAAATTTTTTTCCAGTGCCCTGTCAGCCTCCATACCTTTTTTTTTTTTTTTTTTTGAGAGTCTGTCTCTATCACACAGGCTGGAGTGTGCAGTGGCATGATCTTGGCTCACTGCAACCTCCACCTCCTGGGTTCAAGTGATTCTCCTGCCTCAGCCTCCCAAGTACCTAGGGTTATAGGTGCATGCCACTACTCCCAGCTAACTTTTGTATTTTTAGTAGAGACGGGGTTTCACTATGTTGGCCAGGCTGGTCTCACTCCTGACCTCAGGTGATCCACCCGCCTTGGCCTCCCAAAGTGCTGGGATTACAGGCGTGAAGTACCATGCCTGGTCCATATTCTTTTATATTTGCCAGCGATTCGCCCTTTTAGAATTCAGAAATTATTGAAGGCAGCTGTGTTTGTTTTCCTTCAACTCCATCAGGCCTTTATTTGAAGTCAGTTTTAACTCTGTTGTACTTTATTTCATTCACCTGCAATAGCTAAGGTCTAACATCAGATTGATTGGAATATTAGCTAGCATTCACAAAGGCCTAGATCTGTAACTCTGAAATCGGTGAGATTCCATTCAAAATTTTTGTTACAATAAGCTGTTTGTAAGATCCGACTGGTGGCTTATTTTTAATAGAATTACACATTAAAATTTTATCAATACAATTCGCAACAAATTTGTCTAAATATGTGAAAAGATTTCATTGCCTTTTTGTGGGATTAGATTATTTTTTAATGTTGATTTTGAAATATATTTGGAATTTTTATCTAAATTCTAAAACCTACAAGTGAAAATAATAATGAAAGTAAGTAGTAATTTTAGTGGCAAGATCATTGCCGGTATCATTTTTGTCGATTTATGTGAATAATGTGATTTTCCTAAAAGTTAAGTACTATTGTTAACAGGCTTATTACTTGTATGTTTTTGAGTTTTAGACAGCAAAATCATTTTTTAAAGTTTTAAAAATATGTTTGATAATCTATGTTTATACTGTTTTTTAAATTGTTGTATATGGTAATCTTGAAATCATTCCTGCTTTTTCCTGAATAGGTAACAGTGAGCATGGTGAGAAGTGACAAGCTCACTTTTACACACCCAGGCAGTTGCCCTATTATCAGGCCTGGGGGCTGCCAGCTGCCTGCCCTGGCTTTTCCATCTCCTTCCTTGCTGTCTTCAGCTGCTGCTTCTAAGGGCTGCTGTCACTGGATTAGCCTGTAACCCCCTTTCCCCTCTTCTAATTAATTTGCTGCTCTCAGGTGGGGTTTTGGAAAGCAATAAAGCTGAGCTAGGTCAAGTTCCAGGAGTCTGTTGGCATGAGGACCTGAGAAACTCATCTGGTGGAAGACCTTGGCTTTAGGCAGCTGGTGCACTGTTGGGGCATTGTCGGCTGCGTTCTGGCTCTCAGCAGTCTTCCAAATACTCTGCATTCCTCAGAGAGGAACATGTCTCCATGGGTTGAGTTCAGCTCCAGGGAGATGGGTTTCCCTGCCTTAAGTCTGCAAGTACCTTTTCTTTCTTTCTTTTCTTTTCTTTTCTTTTCTTTTCTTTTCTTTTCTTTTCTCTTCTCTTCTCTTCTCTTCTCTTCTCTTCTCTTCTCTTTTCTTTTCTTTTCTTTTCTTCATTTTTTGAGATGGAGTCTTGCTCTGTTGCCCAGGCTGGAGTGCAGTGGTGTGATCTCGGCTCACTGCAACCTCCGCCTCCCGGGGTCAAGCAATTCTTCTGCCTCAGCCTCCCGAGTAGCTGGGACTACAGGAGCACACCACCACGCCCAGCTAATTTTTGTATTTTTTTAGTAGAGACGGGGTTTCACCATGTTGGCCAGGATGGTCTGGATCTCTTGACCTCCTGATCCGCTGCCTTGGCCTCCCAAAGTGCTGAGATTACAGGCGTGAGCCACCACGCCCAACCTTTTTTTTGTTTTGTTTTGTTTTGAGGTGGAGTCTCGCTCTGTCACCCAGGCTGGAGTGCAGTGGCACGATCTTGGCTGACTGCAACCACTACCTTCCAGGTTCAAGCGATTCTCCCAAGTCAGCCTTCCAAGTAGCTGGGATTACAGGTGCTTGCCACCACATCCGGCTAATTTTTTTTTGTATTTTTAGTAGAGACAGAGTTTCGCTATGTTGGCCAGTCTGGTTCCAAACTTCTCACCTTAGGTGATCTGCCAGCCTGGACCTCCCAAAGTGCTGGGATTACAGGCGTGAGCCACCACGCCCGTCCATGAGTAACTTTTTAACTTCAGGGAGTTAAAAGAAGATGCACATAGTTGATGAAGATTTAAAGGAGAAAATGAAAATCAAATGTCATTCGGCACTCAAAGGCCTACATGTCATTTCTGACTTTTTTCTGTTTGTGTGAAAATTTTTTTTTTCCTATAAAATGATCATGAGGTTTTCTGATAGAATTATTGTTTGCCTTTCTAAAATAATAATACATTGCAGCTTTGGTTTTTTTTTTCTTTTTTTGAGACAGAGTCTCTGTCGCCCAGGCTGGAGTGCAGTGGCGCGATCTCGGCTCACTGCAAGCTCCGCCTGCTGGGTTCCTGCCTCAGCCTCCCAAGTAGCTGGGACTATAGGCACATGCCACCACGCCCGGCTAATTTTTTGTATTTTTAGTAGAGACGGGGTTTCACCGCCTTAGCCAGAATGGTCTTAATCTCCTGACCTCATCATCTACCCGCCTCGGCTTCCCAAAGTGCTGAGATTACAGGCATGAGCTGCGGGGCCTGGCCTATTAGGGATTTTTTATTGTAATTTTTCTCCAAGATAAAAGCAATGACGTTATATTGCCAACTAATTGAAAAATACAAGAGAAATAAAATCATCCATCCTTTTGTTAGCCTATCACTGTCACTGAAATATTATGTTACGTGGCAGTTTGCTTGCTGGTTGCTCTGTTAGGCAGTACCCTGGTGACATTCCTTTAGCTATGGAGGAAGGTAGAATGACAGAACAGTGTTTCTCCTCGATGATACTTGAAGGATATTTACTAACTTTCATATTGAATTACATTTTATTAAATGTGTAATGAGTTAATGCTGGGAAATAAAACACTGATTTAAGTCATTTTGGCTTTTAGTACTAAAGCATTTGACAATAAATGACTTCTTCAGAATATGGTATACCTTCTGAAAGCAATAATGGTGTTTTAATGAATTGTAAGCAAATAACATTATTTTATTTTTTATTGTTTTTGAGACGGACTTTCGCTTTTGTGGCCCAGGCTGGAGTGCAATGGCGCGATCTTGGCTCATTGCAACTTCTGCCTCCAGGGTTCAAATGATTCTCCTGCCTCAGCCCCCTGAGTTGCTGGGGTTACAGGCGTGCACCATCACGCCTGGCCAATTTTGTATTTTTAGTAGAGACAGGGTTTCTCCATGTTGGTCAGGCTGGTCTCAAACTCCTCAGGTGATCCTCCCGCCTCAGCCTCTGAAAGTACTGGAATTACAGGCGTGAGCCACTGCACCCAGCCAACGTTATTTTTTTTTAATCTGGAAAAATACACTTCTGAGAAAATTGATTAAAACCAAACTTCTTCATTAGCCGCTAAAATCACATTTATGTTCTCTTTGCTGCAGCTTCACTTAAAGAGAGGAAGCTTCCTGGTGCTCAAAGCAAAGGAGCTGGGTCTTCCAGTGTGAGTGTGGGGGCGGGGCTTCTTGGGACCCACTGGGTACACCTTTCCACTTAAGGAAATCCCATTTCACGGAGGCCGTGCCTCTTCATTTCAGTGGGACAGCTGCCATCGGTCCCATCATTGCTGCTGTCAAGGAGGGGAAAAGCATCACTCATGAAGGAAGAGAGGTGAGATGCCTGGTTTTCTTGATGATTCAGCAGTTACAGGTAGGGTCTGGAATGCTGGGCAGATCTGTCTGCTTCAGGCCCTACAGACACCACTTTTGAAGGACGTAGAACAGTTTGGACATCACTCAGCTAAGTGACAAAAGGGCCTCTTTTATCTGTGTTTGTCCCGCATGTCAACACGGCTGCATTCGAGCTTTTTTGTAGATTGTCCTTTTAGGATCTGGTCATCCTCCTCCTTAAAGGGGGCATGCTTTCCCTGGTACTTGACTTCAGGACAGTGTCTGACAACAGACCCCATATGGATGGGCCTGGGGTTTATGGTCCAGAGGAATGTCACTGTATTCTTTGTCAAGATATTTCCTCTGACTTCTAAGATGATTAGGACCAGTGGCCACAGACTGAAGAAAACCTTAATGCCAAGCCTCCTTTCCTGGCCAGTGTAGGCCTGAAGTGCCTCAGCCTGACAGTTACCTATTTAGGTATCCACAAAGAGACCAGAAGGGTGTTGATGGTGATGTGTAAAGTTGGTTTTGTGCTTTGTTTACCTCTCAGCCCGCTGGATAGGATAGGTCATGTTAGTAGTTGCGTCGAAGGCAGTTCAGTTTGGTGGCTGAGCTGTGACTGCAGTGGACGGGCTTTTTTTGATTTTGCAGATTTTGGCTGACGAGCTGTGTACTCCTCCAGATCCTGGTGCTGCTTTTGTGGTGGTAGAATGTCCAGATGAAGGCTTCATTCAACCCATCTGTGAGAATGCCACCTTTCAGAGGTAATGTGGGGTCTCTAGGGTGGGAGAAGTGAGAGCTGAAGCGCAGCCCAGCATCGACATGGGCATCTTGTGGCAAGAGCTGTGTTTCTGGGAAGGCCCACTGTCTGGGTTTACAGTTCAGAGGCCAGGACTCCTGCCTTAAGTCACTGTTGGTAGTTGGTGGGCTCTGGTGTACACAGCCTCAAAGTGAAATTAGAAAAGATTGAAAACTAGAAACCACTGAGGACTTGAAATTCAACTAGAACTCTTACAGCTCTTATACTAGAAGAAATTCTAGAACTTTTTTGAGTTCTAACTAATGCCCAGATTATTTTGAACTGAATTAATTTTCTTCCATTACCTGAATTGAAACAAATGAGGTGGGTCAGAGTATGTGAGACTGTCGTGGTCAAGAGTCTGCGTTATGGGATGGAATCACAGCTAGGGAATGTCTTTTGGGCCACCAGCCACTCTGTTTTTTGTCCTCCATCAAAGTTATCCAGTTTTGCAGTTCAGTTTTCACCCCAGGTGGAATCATCTTTGACTCACGTATCTGAGTTTGAGTCTTTTCCCTCACTCTTAATGGTTTACTTGTTTTTTTCCTGTTCCTAGTTTGTATCTACCTGGATTTTTTCACTTGTTTTTTTCTACTTACCACAACAAATCCTTTTGGGCTGCTGTACCCCTTCCGAGTCAGAGTGTTAGGAGTTCTTTCGTGGTCCGCTTTATTCTCTGTGGGTGAATGTGGGTGCCCCGGTAGCCCGGGCTTTGTATTTTAATCAAGTGTTGGGCAGCAGAGCCCAAAACTCATTTCAGTGAGTGAGGTGTCATTTGAGAGCCATGTGCGTGGTGATGGTGGGGTAGATAAAAATAGCTACCATGTGCATTTCTTTTTAAAGGGAACTGGAGGGAAACGCATCGGCATGTTAGTAAGTGCTCTGTTGTCCAGGTGGTGGAATTTCAGACGATTTTCATTTTCCGTGCCTGTGTCTCAGGTCCTCTGGAAGACAGACACCAAGGTGGCATTGGAGGTGTAGGAGGTTTATTCGAGGAAATGCTCATGAGAGAGAAAGGAGAGAGGGAGCAGGAGGAGGCAGGGAGAGCCTGGGTCTGGCTTTGCAGGTCAGACCCCTATAAGGAACTGCAGTGCTGAGAAAGGATCAGCCAGGCCGACTAGAAGGCCCAGAGCAGAGCTTGCCAGATAGAGGAACCCCGTGTTCATTGGAAAAGGCCCAGCACCGGGGTCTGCTGTGAGAGCATGGCCTGGGTGTGGAGCCTGTCACCTCACTGCAGTGCCCGCAGAGGGCCGCACGATGCCCCTCCCTGACTGCGTGGTCCCTGTCTTTGTGTGTCCTGAGTCTGCATCACTTTGTAAAGCCCCACTTTTCTGCCCAGGTACCAAGGAAAGGCAGATGCCCCCGTGGCCTTGGTGGTTCACATGGCCCCAGAATCTGTGCTTGTGGACAGCAGGTACCAGCAGTGGATGGAGAGGTATGGAGCCCAGCCCAGCGGCACTTGGGGTAACTCTTCTGGGCAGTGGTGGATTCCCCTCTCCTCCCCTCTTGCTCTTTCAAACGCTACCTACCCTTCTGCGCCTGCCTAAACTTTCTGTGGGATTCCTGCCTTCCCAGACTTCTAGGCGTCCCAGATCTGTGCCACACTTAGGAGGACAATGCACCGCTAGGTGGCGCAGTGTCCACACGATTCCATTTATTTTACATCCTCCACGCTCTTCAGGGTGTCTGAACAAATACTGCCGTTTGGTTGAGGATTCCAGAAGTGAATCCCAAAGAAGAGATTGCAGATATAAAATGACAGCTTCCATTTACTGAATGCCCACTTTGTGGGAGGCAGTGTGTGAAACACCCTTCATTTAACTTCATTTCCTCTAGGGTCGTCCCCAGCAGCCCTGGGAGGTAGATGTTTAGTCACCGGAAGGAGAGGGAGCTTCACTTTTTCCTCAGGACATCGCTGGCCAGGGCCAGGTGGAGGCGTATGAGTTGAGCTCGGGTGCGGGGTGACCTTGGGCTGCTTTTTGGCCCCTGCCTGTGTCTCCCCACATGGCCCCTTTACCTGCCCCTCACTGCGTGGCCTGCTCTCCTGCTGTCTCTTTCATTCCTCAGGGTTTGAGTCCCCTATTTGTATGCCCTGGACATCTTCTTTTTCTTGTTTTTCTTGTCACTCTTCCCAGCACACCCGAAAGGCAGCTGAGCTAGGGAACACTGGGCTCTGAGACAGCAGGAGTGGGACCATGTTTGGCCATGTAGTAACACTGCTTGGGGCAAGTCACTGAACTGTTTGAACACCTCATCCACATTACCACTCCCGAGCTCAGCACCACTCCTCGGGGAACTGCTTCCTAACAAACGCTGCAAATGCCGGGTCTGTTTCATCACAGGTTTGGGCCTGACACCCAGCACTTGGTCCTGAATGAGAACTGTGCCTCAGTTCACAACCTTCGCAGCTACAAGATTCAAACCCAGCTCAACCTCATCCACCCAGACATCTTCCCCCTGCTCACCAGTTTCCCCTGTAAGGTAGTGTCTCAGACCAGCCCCTCGTTGGCCCAGCTCTCACCCCCTCTCTTTCTCTCCATGAATGCATTTTGTCTCTTTCAGAAGGAGGGCCCCACCCTCAGCGTGCCCGTGGTTCAGGGTGAATGCCTCCTCAAGTACCAGCTCCGTCCCAGGAGGGAGTGGCAGAGGTCTGTGCCATCTTGAACTAATGGAATCGTCTCAGTGGGGTTGGGAAACATTTCTGTAAATAGCCACATAGTAAATGTTTCAGGAGGCTCTCCAGACCATATGGTCTCTGTTGCAACTATTCAACTCCACTTTGAGCACAAAAGAGCCACGGACAATAAGCTAATGAGCGGGCTTGGCTGTGTGCCAATGCGAATTTATTTAGAAAAGCAGCCTACTCCAGGCTGGGTTGAGGTGGGCAGATTGGGGCCGGTAGTTCTCCTTTTCCAAGATTGCCTTGCATGGAAATAGCAGTGATAGAGCTCATGTGTTTCACAGTATAGAAAATAAGAAATGTATGATGAACAGTCACCCATAATCCTGCGGCCCAGAGATAATGGTTGATAACATTTTGTGTTTCTTGATTTGTGTGTGTGGGTTTATGGCCTGACAGTCTTTTCCTGTGTCACTAAATAGTCTTAAGTAACAAGATTTTTATTGGTATTCCAAATAGGGATGTTTACTCATTTGGGATGTTTCCAATTTTTTGCTGTTTTAATGAAACAATAAATGTCTTATATATAAATCTTTGATGGGAAGTCTGTTCCCTTCAAGTCATTCCTAAATGTGGGATTACTGGCCCAGAGTGTGACACTTGTTAAGGTACTTAATAAATGTAAAATGCCATCTTGAAAGCCTCTTCCAGTACACTCCAACCAGGAAAGTGAACAGCCTTACTGCCCCACATCTTAATTGTAATTTTTTTTTCTTTTTGAGACGGAGTTTCACTCTTGTTGCCTAGGCTGAAGTGCAATGGTGTGATCTCAGCTCACTGCAACCTCCGCCTCCCGGGTTCAAGCAATTCTCTTGCCCCAGCCTCCCGAGTAGCTGGCATTACAGGCGCCTGCCACCACGCCTGGTTAATTTTTTGTAATTTCAGCAGAGACAGGGTTTCACCATGTTGGCCAGGCTGGTCTCAAACTCCTGACCTCAGGTGATGCACCCGCCTCGGCCTCCCAGAGTACTGGGATTACAGGCATGAGCCATCACACCTGGCCTGTTTTAATTTTTAAAGATCTGAACCTTGATTTTAAGTTGCCTGCCCACTCCACAGTGTTTGTATTAGAATAGAGCATGTGCTGGATTATGACTGGATGCTGTGTGCTGTTGAGATTGGATACTTGGGGCCCTTTTAAGAGACTAGTAGCAAGACTCGGGCCCACAGCGACATCACGGGGTTAAAGAACCTGGTGTCCATTTGTCGGCATCTGCACAGGCTCTTAACACACAGCAGCGATTCCCAGCCCTAGCTGACATTCACATTTACCTCATGCTTGTGAAAAATAATGCATAGGGCCTGCCCCAGACCTAGTGAATTGGATCTTGAGAGTTAGGCTTGGGACTCACAAGCTCCCAGATGATTTTAATGCTCTGCCAGGTTGAAGAGCCGCCTGTCCAAGAAGTTGTCACTCCATGTGATCTGGGGCTTGCTAGGAAAGTGAGATCTCAGTGTAGAGCTGCTGAATTGGTTTCTGCATTTTGCTAAGGTTCCTGGATGTGAACATGAGTTTCAGAGTCCCTCCTCTAGGGGCTCTGCTTCTCAGCTGGGACCATTTACCCCTTCGAGGACGTTTGGCAATGTCTGGAAACATTTTTGGTTGTCACAGCCTGGGAAGTAGAAGTTGGGGTCCTGCACCAGGACAGCAGCACTGGCCACAGAGAAAGAAAAAAGCCTCTTGCCCTGAGCATCAGTAGTGACTGGCCCTGAGGCAGAGCGAGGCAGCATCCAAAAGGCGGTGGAGCAGAACTGCCCCAGATCCTAGTCACTTACCCTTCAGTGTTGATCGGAAGGAACTTCCTGCAGATTGTCCCCCTGAATTTATTCTGGACATCCACATTAGGGTCTGCTGAGGCCATATACGCCGTCCGTCACCTGAGATGCTTCTCTCTTTCCCTGCAGGGATGCCATTATTACTTGCAATCCTGAGGAATTCATAGACGAGGCGCTGCAGCTTCCCAACTTCCAGGAGAGCGTGCAGGAGTACAGGAGGAGTGCACAGGACGGCCCAGCCCCAGCAGGTGAGTGGGAGCCCGCAGAGCAGCCTTTCTTTCCTGGGCTCTGCCGCCTGCTGCTGTTTTCATAGCATTGAGTAGAGTGCTGGCGGGGCGCATTCTAACCTGTCTTTTCAGTTTAATCCAGGGCTTCTCTACTTTGGCTCTATGTTAGAATTATGGCCATTGGAGGAGGGGGCTTTGTGGAGTTTAAGAATCCCAATTCCTGGCTGGGCGTGGTGGCTTACGCCTGTAATCCCAGCACTTTGGGAGGCCGAGGCGGGAAGATCATGAGGTCAGGAGATCGAGACCATCCTGGCTAACATGGTGAAAGTCTGTCTCTACTAAAAATACAAAAAATTAGCCGGGTGTTGTGGCGGGCGCCTGTAGTCGCAGCTACTTGGGAGGCTGAGGCAGGAGAATAGTGTGAACCCAGGAGGCGGAGCTTGCAGTGAACCAAGATCGTGCCACTACACTCCAGCCTGGGCGATAGAGCGAGACTCCGTCTCAAAAAAAAAAAAAGAATCCCAATTCCACCCAATCAGAGCATTTGGCGATGGCACCCCAGCATTCTTGACAAGACACGCATTGAGTGAAACAGTTTGGTGAGTGCCTGTGGAAAGAGCTTTGAACAGGGACTTGGCTGGCAGGGATCTCGTCCTGGCTTTGTGGATGCACATCCCTGGAGGATCTTGGCCACGTCACTCAACTGAGGCTGAGGGCCGGACACAGGCTTTGGAACCATCGGGTCTCCCTGGATTTGAATCCTGACCCTGCCTCTTACCATCTTCACTGGAAACCTGGGCCTCTGAGTTTGTTTCTCCCTTGTGAAGCAGAGCATTTCCTACCTGATAGAACTGGAAGGATGAGACTGAAGTGCATGGTCTTGCAGTAAGAGCTGGATGCAAGGCACACACTGCTCTCTTCAAATAAATGACAATTCCCAGCATAAAGAAATGTCATTTTTTAAATGTAAAAGAATGACAGAAATTCTTTTGAAGAAGGGACTAGAGAATTTATTTGTTCTTCTTCTCAGCCCTTTGGTGACAAATAGCCAGTGGGTCCCACACTGGTGTGAAGTCCTTTGTGTGGGGGCGGTTGCCAGGGGCCTGTCAGTCCCCTTCCTGGGAAGCTGGACGGAACTGTGTTGCTTACCCATCTGTCTTAGTGTGTTTTTTATTATTATAAAAGAATATGTGAGACTGGGTAATTTATCAAGAAAAGAGGTTTATTTAGTTCATGGTTCTGCAAGGTCACGGCCCTAGCTCCCAGTGAAGGTTTTCACGCTGTGCCATAACATGGCAGAAGAGGGCAAGTAGGAAGTGGACGCCTGTGAAGATGGGAACACCTGGGCCGCACTCTGGCTTTATAACAACCCCCTCCCCCGGGAACAAATCCATTCCCTTGAGAAGTAGTCCAGTCTCCTGAGAGCCAGTACTTAACTACTGCAGCTCCAAGCCACTCAGGAGGGTCCGTCCCCGTAGCCCAAACACCTCCCACTAGGCCCCGCCTCCCAACACCGCCACACTGGGGAGCACGTTTCCACATGAGGTTTGGGGACAAACCAATGAGACTCAAAGCGTTGCCCCTTCTCAGGGCTGCATGCTGGCTCACTTTTGACCCCAAGGAACGGATTGTTTCACATGGATTTTTTTCACAGAGAAAAGAAGTCAGTACCCAGAAATCGTCTTCCTTGGAACAGGGTCTGCCGTCCCGATGAAGATTCGAAATGTCAGTGCCACACTCGTCAACATAAGGTATGCTGCTCTCCCAGGAAGCGTCCTTCCATCAAAGGCGTGTTTCCTTTCTAAACAAAAGCCCTGCTGCACCCACCAGTCGATTTGAAAATGCAGCGGCATCAAGCCCTGTCACTTGTCATGTCGCCTGGAGTGTCGCGGAGAGGAGCGTGGCCTTACTGCATTTTATAGCCTCAGTAGCAATGTTTTTACCCTGGGAATCACCACAGTTCATCCCATGATGTCTTTTAATAAAAATAGCTGATATTACTGTGTGCACTACACCTAAGAAATCATCTCGTTTAATTTTTACATTAATCCTATGAAGTGGTGAGTAACTACCCATTTTGTTGATGGGTGAACCGATGCTCAGAGAGGCGACTTGCTGTAGTTCCTACAGCTGGTAAGTGGGGCATCTGAAGTTTGAGTGGGGACTTGGGGTCTGGATTGCTAGCTGGTATTGTCCCCCAGCTATCTGTTGCTAGTATGTTAAAAAGCTTTAGGGTTCTGCACATTTGTGTTCAGCCCCTTTATTGGATTCCCCTTGACATGTTTTTTAGTTGATTCTCTTGGGTTTGCCTGGGGTCATTTATCAGCAGAGAGATTAGTCAAACGCGTTGTGAAATGTACATGTTACCTCTGCAGATAGTATGTGAAGAAAATAAGATTGTGCATTAGTAGGTTTGTTTTTAAATTTTGCTTTGTCATCTTAGATGCTAGTGATGGATGAGAAACAAGCAAATAGCGCATTAAATACATACAGCAGTGACGAGATGTGCCCTGACATCAGAAATACACAATCTGGGGTGTGTTTCTCTGTGGACGAGGATATGCAATAAAGCAGCTTGGAGTGAGCTGGCCTCTCCCGGGGGCTGAGATCCTGGGGGAAGAAGGGCTTTTTAAGTTGCTGACCTGACCCCCTTGCAAGTGGCTTTTGAACCGGCTGAAGCTAATGGGAAGGTGCTCTTGCCACTTTGTGTCCCAACTCCCTTTTCCCCGGAAAGTCATGTCTCAGCACTGAGGCTTCTCTCTGCAAAATGGGTGCAGCCCTCTCCGTCTTCCTGGCTCCTCCCAGAGAAGGAAGAAGGCCAGAGCGGGTCAGCACTCTCTCTGCCTTGGAGCAGAGCTTCTGAAATGCACTGCACATCAGAATAGCCCAAGAAGCTTGTCCGAATCCAAGCTCCCAGAGCCCTGCCTAAAACCAAGTCAGAAACCCCAAGTGACACCTGGGAGTCTGCGTTAACTAGCTCCCTGAATGACGCACCTGCAGCCCGCCCTGCCCCAGGTGTCTTTGAGGACATGAACTGAGGAAACCCCGACCGCATGCAAAGGGGGAAAAGTCCGATGGCAGCGGGACCTAGAAACAGTCTCATATGGCCCAGTGTCTGTCCTGGTATTCTCAAGAGAGGCTGTGGCCACAGTCAGTCTGTGTAGTCAGATTCATTGTTAGGACTAAATGCTTTAAGCCTCCTATAAACTTTGTTTTGTTTTGTTTTGTTTTTTGAAGCCCAGCCTTTGTGTAAGTATACTTGAAAGGGTTTCAGGGTTCCATGTATAATCCTTTGCTGTAAACAGGATGACACATGTAAACTTACCTTTACGGTTCAATTAATTGGCTTTTATATTAGCTCCTCAAAGAAAAGCACGAGAGCCAGACATTTCTACAGCTGCCTCCTGGTCTTGTCCAAAGCAGACATCAGCCTCTGAACTGTCGGCAGCCCTCCCAGTGGCGGTGACTCTCTTGCTCCTCTCTTCTGTAGCTCCGACACGTCTCTGCTACTGGACTGTGGTGAGGGCACGTTTGGGCAGCTGTACCGTCATTACGGAGACCAGGTGGACCGGGTCCTGGGCAGCCTGGCTGCCGTGTTTGTGTCCCACCTGCACGCAGATCACCACACGGTGAGTGTTGGGCTGGACCACAAAGCTGGAGCCTGGAGGAGGCACTGCCACACTGAGTTGGCCCTTTAGCCGCATCTTTTCCTCTGCTTCCCTAACTTGCCCAAGCTTTTATTACTCATCTCTAGCTAGGAAATGGTCTTTTACAAAACTCAACGTAGTCCTTCTGTGCCACAGGAATGTCTTCTCTTTCTATTTAGTTCCTTTCCTGCAGCAGGACAGGTTTGGGTTTACCCAGCCTTCCTTGAATTTTGAATCTCACACGGCCTGCTCAGAGGAAGCTTTGGCCAGATGCAGGAGGTGTGGCTATGAGACCCTCACCTTGGTCTCCTGGGGTGCTTGGTCTCCTGGGGTGCTGGGCCCAGGGCCATTGCCCTCTTCCCAACACACTGTGACATTTCAGGGTCATGGCGCAGGGGGCTTAGCATGTGCCACCCCCACTGCGGCTGTGTTAGAGGCTGGTGGGTGACATAGGGCTGGCAACTCCTGCAAGAGGGAGGGCTGCAGACCCTAACCCAAAGGAGATCGTCCTCGGGCCTGGCTAATGCATGTTTCCTGTTTCCTTGCCAGGGCTTGCTAAATATCTTGCTGCAGAGAGAACGAGCCTTGGTAAGTGCGGCACTTCATCGACGTTTTGAGTTCCAGTGGTTTACACATCATCCGCCGCGCCTCTTGGCCTCCAGCGTTTATTGAGATGTTCCATCGTTGAGTGAGCACTTGGATTTTTTGTTTCAGGCATCTTTGGGAAAGCCACTTCGCCCTTTGCTGGTGGTTGCCCCCACCCAGCTCAAAGCCTGGCTCCAGCAGTACCACAACCAGTGCCAGGAGGTCCTGCACCACGTCAGGTGAGCATCCAGGGCAGCCTGGCCCCTGGGTTGTTGTTGCTTCCACCTCCTTCAGAAGCTCAAGGTTGACACTGGGGCAGTTACCACTATCCCCCAGCAGCCTTGCCCTTGCCATTGTCCCAGAAGGCAGAAGCAGGAGAGAGGTGCTCTGGCTGAAGGACAGAAACCATTAGATAGTTCCCATGTCATGCTTATTTTCTTAGAAGCATTTCTTCCCAGTCCTCATTTGAGTTCTGAGCTGCTTTCTTAATAAACATTGACCAGCTTTTCTTCATGAGAGTTCCGGAGCCAAGCACCCAAATAGTGGCTAGCACAGAGACTGTCCAGACCAGGTGTGTGGCCAGCGGGAGGTGGCGCCATCCTCACCCCAAGGGGAAGGAGTCCCCTCTGCTGGAGTCGCCCGTGGCCTGTGCTGCCTGAGCTGGAGGCGGCATTCACCTGCTGGGTCTCTCCCAGTGGCCCAGAGGCTTGGGTTTGGCTCTTTGTATTTGACAGCTGTTTCTTCATCTTAGGGACTATGATTTCAATCATGTTTCCACCTAAGAATGATTTTGGGGTTCTCCAGCCAAAGACTTAAACTTTGGTTCCAGATGTGCAAGAAATGTTTGTTATCGTTTTAAATGTTTTGTCTTTTTACAGTATGATCCCTGCCAAATGCCTTCAGGAAGGGGCTGAGATCTCCAGTCCTGCAGTGGAAAGATTGATCAGTTCGCTGTTGGGAACATGTGATTTGGAAGAGGTAAGGGGCACCGCCGCAGGCATCGTGGGGGCGAGGTGGGGAGCAGAGCTGCAGAGCCCTCCAGCCCCGCCCTTTTAGTTTCAGACCTGTCTGGTGCGGCACTGCAGGCATGCGTTTGGCTGTGCGCTGGTGCACGCCTCTGGCTGGAAAGTGGTCTATTCCGGGGACACCATGCCCTGTGAGGCTCTGGTCCGGATGGGTGAGTAGAGGAAGAAACTAGCCACCGTGAGGTTGCTCTGGGGTTTGTGTCGCTGGAGGTGAATGCAGCTGAGCTTGTGGGGAAACAGCAGCAGAGGCAGGAGACTCAGGTCCCCGCCCTCAGAGTCTCTGGTTATCATCCTAGTAGGCAGACCCAGGGCCAGGGGAGCCGAGTGTTGAGACCAGGAAACAGCACGTGACTGAGGCCTGTGTGCTGCTCTTGCAGAGAACTCTGCCCTGATCCTTGTACTTTTTCTCCAGGGAAAGATGCCACCCTCCTGATACATGAAGCCACCCTGGAAGATGGTTTGGAAGAGGAAGCAGTGGAAAAGACACACAGGTAGCAAAGGCCGGTTAGTCCTTGTCCCCCATATCCTCTCCCTCCCCTACTATGTGACACTGAGCAGCCATCATTTGTGTCTCCACTGATGTGGTGCTGCCCTGCTTCCTATCAAGGGCTATGGGGGCTTCCTTGACCTGTGGCAATGCTCACAGGCCCTTGGCCTTTATTTTTGCAGAATTTTCTAGGCAAGGTTCTAGAGTGAGGCACAGTTTTTTTGAAAGCATTTAGAAATAGCTGAATAAACTCTAAGCCATGTCAGAGAATTGCCAGGGGAGGGTGGGGTTTGGGGGACTGAATCTTGGGCTGTTAATTTCAACAAAAGAGTGCATTACCCCAGGTGGGCCCTGTGCTTTCTCTTGGGTGCCCTCATAGACAGATTTGGCAGCCAATACAGAGGGTGGGCTTCATTCAGGGGAGTGTGTGAAGGCTCTGGCCCTCAGGGGAGATTGTGCTGGCTACGGAGGTGCCCGTTAAGAAAACCCACCAGCTTCCCCAGGTACCCTAGCAGTTGACTGCCAGGGTCTGTGCCACTCTTTGCAGTCTTGCACTTGGGTTCAGCTTCAGTCTGCTCTGTCCTTTGCCCGCAGCACAACGTCCCAAGCCATCAGTGTGGGGATGCGGATGAACGCGGAGTTCATCATGCTGAACCACTTCAGCCAGCGCTACGCCAAGGTCCCCCTCTTTAGCCCTGACTTCAACGAGAAAGTGGGAATCGCCTTTGACCACATGAAGGTCTGTATGTCACGTGGGTAGCACGGGGCGGGGACGGGGCAGGGAGACAGGATTCTACACACTGAGTAAGACAGTCAGCTGGAGTTAGCTTTCTTCTTTGGGGCCACCATGGGAAAGGGTATCTACCCGTCACTAACCAGGTCGAACCACGCTGGGTTTGCTGGTGAGACCCACCTCCTGCAGGGGCCAGCTAGTCTTCAGTCTCAGTCCACTGGAAATTTCTGAAGAGTCTTTTCAGGCCTGGACTGCTCACACAGTCATGGCATTTGAGCCTCAGCACAGACCTGTGAGACAGGTGGTTGCCTCTTGTGAGTGGGAAAGCCAGGCCTGAGCTTTGGCCTTCCGGAATGAAGGGGCGGGGCCCAAACCAGACCTCCTTTTTCAGGAGTTTGACTTTGAGAGCATCTGGACTGCTTTCCCTTCCCTCTCCGGAGGCCCTTAGCCAGGCCTGGGGAGACTCTGTCCCTTCTTTAGAGGGCTCCCTCCATGCCATGCTTTTTTCCATTTCAACTGTGACCTGTTGGCTTGTGCATAAGGAGGGGGCGTTGGCGCTGCTGTGTGAGCGCATGACTGCATCTCTCCCAGCTCCTGTCCCCACCTCTGCTCCTCTGAGGCATGTCCTTGTCTTCTATTGTGTCTTCTAGGTCTCCTTTGGAGACTTTCCAACAGTGCCCAAGCTGATTCCCCCACTGAAAGCCCTGTTTGCTGGCGACATTGAGGAGATGGAGGAGCGCAGGGAGAGGCGGGAGCTGCGACAGGTGCGGGCGGTCCTCCTGTCCAGGGCTCTGACAGGCGACCTGGAGGATGGGGAGCCCCAGCAGAAACGGGCCCACACAGAGGAGCCACAGAGCAAAAAGGTCAGAGCCCAGTGAAGATCTGGGAGTGACCCTGAACTCTGACGGCTGTGTGTCTTCTGCCCCACGCACGCACCCGTATCTGCCCTCCTTGCTGGTAGAAGCTGAAGAGCACGGTCCACTCAGGAGGCAGCTCAGGATAGGTGGTGTGGAGTTGTGCCAAGGCTTGGACTCCCAGATAAGCACTAGTTTATAGACACCTCTTAGGACTGGTGCCTGGCACAGCTGCGGAACAGGAGGCTGCTACGCGGAAGCAAGCAAATGAACTAATTTCACTTCAAGGCAGTATTTAAAGAAGTCATGGAAACAGACGGCAGCACCCTTCCTCTCATCCAGCAAAGTGATTTTCTGCACGCCAGAGACAAGCAGAGTCGCAGGAACACTGGGTCTAAGTGTCCGAGACTCAACGAAAATAGTATTTCAGCTGCAATAAAGATCGAGTTTGGAATGGTGAGTTCTTTTGCTTCCTCCTGCTGCTGCTACAGAGCAGGGTCTGCTGGGCACCGCCTTGGAAAAGGCTCTCTGCGCTGCAGCGTGGCAGCTGCCTGGTACCTGGCTGGCTTGGAAGTCAGCCCTCATCGTAGTGAGCACCTCTGGAACCTGTCCTGAGAGAGCCACCCTCGTTCGCCAAGTCTTTTGACAGAACTCAAGCTGTGCCGGCTCACAGCAGGGTGTGCTTCCCCTATCAGTGAGAGCCTGGCCGGGCTAGTGTCAGTGGTCAGGGAAATGCAAGTCTTCTGGTTGTTCTGGGTAAAAAGTGGAGACAATAGATTTGCTCTGTTGCTTCCATACTGAGAGTGAGGATCACTTTGCCCTTGAAGGTTTTGAGAAATGGCACACGGAGCTGGTTTCTTTTGTCCTCCTTGTGGGATTTACAGACGCAGGTTAGTGTCTGACAAATGGAGAGCATTTTCCAAGTCGAATCTAGTACTTACTGTATATTCTCCCTACCCGGGAGAACATGAAAAGCGCTTTAAAAACTCAAGTGACAAGTGAGTGATCAACCAGCGACTTGCTTTACACTAGTGGTGACCTTCAGGTGCCAACCGGGCACACATTCGAGATTGACAGCCACGTCCCCGCAGGTTTATTAAAGCCAGAACAGATGCCAAGCTCAGGGATAATAAATCTATTTTAATAACATTACTTTTGACAACGATTTGTACATGTATTTAAAGATAACTTTCAACCCCCACCCTTACCCCAGACTCCCATTACAAATTGAGGCGTGAACTGCCCTTGCCAGGAAGTGAGCAAAGCTGTAACATCAAAAGTCTGCACATCCCGCTCTCAGAGGAGGGTGACTTTACACTGTGTTGGGAAAAATAACTAAGCATTTAAATTTTTCATTGTACACCTGTACATTGGTTTAGATTGAATGGCTCAAATTAAACAAATATAGAGAGATTTCATATATACAAATATTATATCATGTATAGGTATATTATATCTATTTTAAAAGGATAAAATTTTAAACTTTGACTTTGCATGCATGGCCCAAATCTTTTCTCACTCCCCTAATCCCCAAATGTGAAGAGGCTCCCCGGTACCCTCCCGGCCCTCGTCCCCATGACCAGATGGGACTTCATGAGAAGGGATGAGCGGCTGACGCTGGTGAGCAAAGCAGGCCACACCGCAGGCCGAGCCCGTGGGCTGGTGTCTCCGTGGCCGGTTTCACTTTTCCTCCACATGCTTTGGGTAACATAATTATTGCTATTCAGTTTGAACCTCCAGAAAGAAGAGGCAGGCTCCAGGACCCCACAGACTAGTGAGCTGGGTGCCTTTAGGTACCTAGAGGAGTAAAATTACTCTCATATAGCCAATGTATTTGGGGACATGGAGGCCACCGTTGGGGCCTCCAGACACCGTCAGGCTTTATAGATTCAGAAGTAGAAAATGATATAGGAGCTTTCAGTCACACAGTGGAAAAAGGAAAACTGTTAGGAAGTGAAACACATTTTTGTATTCAGCCATTTACTTTGGAGCCCCACTGATGGGGGCAGCCCGAAAGGTTTCCCAGTGGCAAGGCCTCCCCCCAGTGGCTGGCAAAGGTCAGTGCCCCAGGACTGCTAGAATCCCGGACCTGGTCTAGTTGTGGGTGACAGGGACCCTGCTGTCCTGCTTCCTTTCTGTGGCCATTAAACTGCTCCTGCAAGACCTGCCATGAGCCATCCGAGGAAAAGGTAGCAGCCCTACCTTTTCCTGGTTAGGAAAAGGGTCTAACCAGGCAAAGTGAGCCTCTCCCGCACCACTCCGACCCTGCAAAGGACGTTCCTGACCAGCCTTGGATGGAGAGGGGGGTGTTGCTTGGCATGGAGGCTGAAAGTAGATCAAAAGAGGCACAAAGTCAAAAGGCAAAGGTCAAACAAAAGGCCGAAGTCACCACCCGAAAGGAACAAACAAAATCTGCACCACCAGCATCACCACACGGACTGGAGATCACAATTTCCTGCCAGACTCCAACCTCGCGTTGGCAGTGGCAGGAAAGAGCCAGCAGAGAACACTTGGCAAGCTCACGGACACTGCTCCTGGCGGCGTTCCTAGGGCCCGTGATGTATGTACACGCGAGGCAGGATGGGCGGTGCCATGTCAGAGGGCGGTGCTCTCAGACTCCTCCTCCGAGTCCCTCTTGTCAGTCACTGAGTGTCGCCGCATGTGCTCCAGGGGACTCAGGCGGAGTGTCGACCCGAGCTCTATGTGGATCGAGGGAATATCAAAGTGGACAAGATCTGGAAGGCGGCAGAGAGAAAGGTGGTTGAAAGGGGGCCTCCTGGCAAATGAGAACCTAGTTGCAGGCAAACAATGTCAGCCTTAGGAAGCAGGGGGGGTGGTATTCTAGGGATAGATCATTTGGAGGTTGGTTTAAGCATTTTGTGGCACAATCAGGTTGTGGTCATGCCTGCTTTGCTTCTACCCCGTAAGTATGCAGAACCAAAGCAAACCCAGGATGTGCCACCGTGGTTCAGAGAGGAAGGCCAGAACAGCACTTCCCTGCCAAGCCACAGGGTCCTTTATTCTTGATAAGAAGGATGCTGAGTAAGTCTCAATGACATCTTTTTGGGGATGTATATCAGACTGCATTTCATTCCCCAGAATCTGCAGGGACAGGACGTGAGACAGTGGAAAGGTACCCCTTTCTCCTCTCAAGTCTACGAGTGAATCGGGGAACCCTGAACCAGTGTCCTCACTCTAAGAAATGGCTGCGTTTTGGATGGCTGACATGGGCGGAGTAGAAGGTCTCCCTCAGGACCCTGGTCATCATTGGTGCCAACTGTCCCTGACTGCAGGAAAACCCCCACCTCTAGTTACAACCTTATTAGGAGCATTAAAAGGTCATTTTTTTTCCCGGCAAGCTGAACAGGAGAAATGTACTCGAAATAACAGCTCAGTGTCTGGACATCTGTGAGTCGGCAAAGAGGACAGAAGTCCTTAGACTGGCAGCTGAGTAGACACAAAGTCTGTTTGCCACAGCGTGTTAAAAATGGCCTTGCTGCTGCAGCCGCCACCCCGGGGGTAAACTGACAAGGCTGTGTGCTTGCTGACTCTTCCGGGATGTGCTACACCACAGAGCCAGAGAACACAGATCCCCTGGGTTCTTTACTCTCGTCATGCTGTCCCCCTCCTTCGCCTGCTTAGTTTTCCTTTTTTTTTGCTTTTTTGAGATGGAGTTTTGCTCTTGTTGCACAGGCTGGAGTGCAATGGCACAATCTCACTTCACTACAACCTCTGCCTCCTGAGTTCAAGCAATTCTCCTGCCTCAGCCTCCCGAGTAGCTGGGATTACAGGCATCCACCACCACACCCGGCCTTTTTTTTTTTTTTTTTTTTGTATTTTTAGTAGAGACTGGGTTTCACCATGTTGGCCAGGCTGGTCTCGAACTCCTGACCTCAGGTGATTCACCCACCTCAGTCTCCCAAAGTGTTGGGATTACAGGCATGAACCACCACGCTTAGTTTCTGGCCCTCACTTAGCTTTGCGAGGCTGGGAGCAGCACCAGGAGGCAGAGGAAGGGAACAAATGTTCAGACTGAGGAATACCATACTAAGTGTACAGACATACATTTGGACACTGTCCTGAAAGACATCATACAAACATGGAAGCTCTGGGACAAAGGTCTTCCCTTAGCCCCAACCCCCAGGCAGCCCTCATGTCCTTTTCAGTCTTTGTTTTGCTGCCTGATGGAGAAGCAGAGATTTAGGGGGTGGGGCTGGAGGAACAGCCAGTGCCACTTATTCCTCTGAAGCAGGTGGCCTCAGGCCCACCTCTGCCTTTCCCCGGCTGCTAGGGTCATGTCTCTGCACAGGTGTGAGGCTGAGTGGCCCGGGGCCCACCTCGCTGTGCAGGGTTCGCTATCAGGTAAGAACACAAGCTCTCCCGCTTAGATTCAAAAATCCCAAATATGTCAGGCAGGAAGAGCGTGAGCTTGGACAAGTGTCCTACCTTCCCTGTGCCTCAGCAGTCAAATGGGAATAATACAGGGCGGTGATGAGTTTAGATGGGCCCAGAACAAGCACTTGTGTGAGCTGTCATACCTTTATCCTTGTTGCTGCCTTAAAGAGACTCCCAAGGGAGAAGAGTCACTATGCAAGGGAATGGGATTCAGGGGAAGAAGCCCTCATCAGCATTCCTGGGAAAAGGGACACTGGCTGCTTGTTTCCAGGACACTCTAGAAGCACCTGCCAGGAAACTGTTAGCACCAGAGACCCTGGTGTCTCTCGGTAGTCTCTGCAGGACCATGGGCCGAATCGGGGGGAAGACCTGGTTTACTCTGGCCACCCCTGCTTACTGAGGCAGATACACCAAAGTCCTGGCTTCATGCCCTTCCTTCAGTTATGCTTTGAGCATTTACTTTTTATAGGAGGAGGAGACCAAACAGATACTGATATAAATACTCCCCCAAATTTTACTGAGTTGGATAGAAAGGATCTGTCTGGCCATATCCACTTGGGATGAGGGAGAAGGGGAGCAGGATGAGCTCTGATACGGATTCTTCAGGATTTGCCAGCAATCTCAGCCTGGAGGAAGCCAGACGTTAGGATCTAAGTCTGGAAGGGGAGATCTGCTGGTGTGAACTCAGGGCCACAGAAAATGGGGTCCAAGCCTTGGTGTGGACCCTGTGCTTGGCTGCAGCAGGTATGACCTCCCCTCAGGACACCTTCCTAAACAAAGATGAGCAGGTGCATGTCCCCCAGGGTGCTGGGCACAGGCGTCTCCAGCACAAACGTCTCATAGGAAGAACAGATGTGTTACCGCTCCACGGTCTAAACCGGAGGGAGAGCGGAGGAGGAGGAGCTGCAGATGTGATTCTAGTGAGAGAGAAGGTACGGAAAAGGGGTTGGCTGGGTTCTCCCCCAGCTCCTCCTAATGAAAAGAAAGAAAAAGAGGCTAGGGGTCCCCCAAAGCCAAATAAGCTCGTGGTCAGCTCATCCTTGCTGAGGCCAGGGAAGG